ATCTGCCATCTTGAGGACACCGCTGCTGAAGATGAGGCTTGCCCCGATCTCCAGTTACATTACTGGCCCAGGATCATTCAGTGACCAAAAAAGCTGACAATTAATTCATATCAAGCGTTCGCGGTCCGGGGTGGAGGCGGCGAGAAAGAGGTTCGTGCGTAATATCCACCGGTGTGTCTCTGCGGAGGCTCTGGGGACGAGCCGCGGCGACAGGCTTCAGCTGTGGCGCGACATGTCTGAGGAGTGAGGGCTCTGCAAAAGTTACACTGGTCAGAGCGCCGTTTGCTGAGAGCGAGAGAGAGAGAGGTTGTGAGAGACGGAGAGATGATGAGAGAGAGATGACTTTGATTTGGAGAGAGCGGTGAGGAAGGAGAGGAGAGAGAGGAGTGGAGAGAGAGGAGAGGAGGAGAGGAGGAGGACGATGAGGAGAAGGAGGAGGTGAGAGGAGGAGGGAGAGAAGGAGAGGGAGGTGGAGAATGAGAGGAGGGGTGGAGGAGAGGAGAGGGAGGAGGAGGACGAGATGTGAGGGAGAGGAGACGAGGAGGAGAGCTGAGGAGTCTACGAGGGAGGAGGGGGAGAGAGAGAGCGAGGAGAGAGGAGACGAGGGGAGAGAGAGAGGAACCGAGAGAGAGAGAGAGAGAGAGAGAGCGAGGGGGGGAAGAGAGAGGAGAGAGGAGAGAGATGGGAGATGACGGAGGAAGAGGAAACGAGAGAGGAGAGAGAGAGAGGAGAGCGAGAGAGAGTTGAGAGAGAGGAGGAGAGAGAGAGAGAGAGAGGGTAGAGAGGAGAGAAGAGAGAGAGAGTGAGGAGAAGAGAGAGAGAAGAGATGGAGGGGAGAGAGGAGGAGAGAGAGCGGTGGAGAGAGGAGAAGAGAGAGGGGAGAGAGAGAGAGAGAGAGAGGGAGAGAGAGAGAGGAGATAGAGAGAGATGGAGAGAGAGAGAGAGAGAGAGAGAGAGAGAGAGAGAGAGAGAGAGAGAGTAGAGAGAGAGAGAGAGAGAGAGGAGAGAGAGAGAAGAGAGAGAGAGAGATGAGAGAGTGAGAGAGAGAGAGAGAGAGAGAGAGAGAGAGAGTCGAGAGACGATGGAGTCGATGGAGCAGAGGAGGAGAGAGGCGACGGTGGCTGCGTTATTCAATTATCCAATAAACACAGTGATAGTCTGCCTGTCATATCCTCCAGAAACGATTCCAAAAGGTTTTTGTTTTTCATTCACAAGGCTTTACTCAGAATCAGAATCAAAATCAGAATTTACTGTGATGCCTTCAGTGCACGAGATGGGGAGGGTTGGCCATTTGTATATGTGAGCAATACAGACAGGTTTAGTATGAATCGTGTGTGTGTGCGTGTGTGCGTGCGTGTGTGTGCGTGTGTGTGCGTGTGTGCGTGCGTGTGTGTGCGTGTGCGTGCGTGTGTGCGTGTGCGTGCGTGTGTGTGTGTGTACATATACAGTCAAGGACACTATTGTTAGAGCATATTTGAATTAGGGCAAAATATGATTTGTTTCTTGGTAGCCCCTGCAACTGATAACAACTATTTTGTTTGAAATAACCAAAAATGATATCTTTTTTTAATGGGACGCGTATCATCTTTTGAACTACCCTATACTGAGCCTTTTGGAGGGGTCGATAATGTGTTACTAAAAATGTGAGTACAAAATATTTGCTTAAAACATAGTTTTGTTTAGTTATGGATTCAGAGAGAAAGATCATTTTGTATTAAGTAAAATATGAAATAGTCCTGGACTCATTTTTATTATTCTTATCCCTAGAACTGTTAAATTCTGTGCTCTGTTGTTGAGGAATCGACAACTTTGTAAAGTCCTCAAAGATGAATTCTGTTGTGATTAAGGGCTGTGCAGAAACATATAGAATTGAATTGAATGTATATATTTGTAAAAACCTAATGGTCAAAATCTACAACAATTACATCCATTTTAACCATTTCTCTTGTGTATTGACATAAAACTATGGTCATTGCTGTAAGTAAAACATTTC